TCTGTGTCACAATTATGAGCGTTGCAAGACTATATCTAGTCAAGTTGTTTGAAACAGAAAGCAGCGGAATATACATCTGGAAAACCTCAGAAATGAATCACGAAAGAATTGAATAGCGTTGCAGCTCATCATTCAGATATTGTTAGCAGCCACGATGTTCCTTGTATTCGGAGAAATATGTACCGACAGAGAAGGAAAGCCCTACCTCTGCTTCCAAAATGTATTTCTGACGTGCATTCGGCATTAAATGTAATGCATGTGATATCTTATTGACATGAAAATCTTCTTCAAATTAATGATGATAGACATAATATGGTTTGTTTTTCAACAGATTCAAATTTAAGGATCTTATGTGACAAAAAAGGTTTTTTGTTGATGGCACTCTCACATTTTGCCCAAAATTTTTCTTTCAGATGTTTACGTTTCATACAGTGGAAAATCGACATTATATCCCACTTGTATTTTTTTTTTCCCCTACTAGGAAAGTCTACGGCAATATACGAAACTATGTTTCAAAAACTGAAAGAACTGTGTTCTAACTTGCATTTGAATTTTCAGCTAGAAATTGTGGTGGCAGATTTCGAATATGCAATCCATGAAGCTGTGAGAAAAATGTGGCCTGAATGTTCTATTACAGGGTGTAGATTCCACTTGACTCAAGCTTGGTGGCGAAAACTTCAACAGTGCGGATTGCAACAACAATATAGGAATGGTAATTCAGAAATTGGCAGATGGCTTCGACTGGTATTTGGATTACTCTTTTTGGATGCTACTGAAGTTTCGGATAGCTTCGTTGAAGACCTGATGTGAGAGCAACCACGGGATGCAAACATCACACGCTTTACTGATTACATAACCGAGAACTACCTAGATGAGGATGCAAAATTTCCCCCGATACTTTGGGCTTGCGCTGATATCTCATCGGAAAGAATAAACTAATGCGTGTGAAGCATTTCATTAAAAATTCAGAGCGAATTTTTATCATTCCCATCCTAATATATTTGTCTTCACAGATGTAATTCGTTGAAATTCACATAGATATATATATACGCTGCAAATAAATGGTGATGAAGCAGCATAAAAAAATAAAAAACAGGAATTATGCAAACAGAAAGGAAGGAAAGAATCAAGGATTTACTTCAACAAACGCAGGTATGGAATGATTTCAAGATTAGAATTACTTAAGACGTGTTTTCATGTTACCCAAAAATTGTAAGCTTAATTATTGCAATTCTATTGTATTCAAACGAAATGAATGTGAAATATCATAATAAATGTTAATAATTTTAAATTACAAAAGTATTGAGAAAAATGTATTTAAAAACAGATTAGCAGGATAAAAAAATAAACTTAAAGAAAATGTTAAAGTATGAATAAAATAAATAAATAAGTGTAAAATAATAAGTAAATCAAAATATTAAATCATGGAAAACGATTTCTAGAGTAAATTTCTTAGGGGTTGAAATTTAAAACATACAGTAGAAATGAGAAGAGAATTTAGATCTCTTTCATATCATGAAGTTTATTAAGCATTATATACCCTACGCGGAGCACGCATTCCTTGAAACTTGAAATGCGGACATAGCGGCACAGAAAAATATTTTTGAAAAAAAACTATGTAGTTATTGCATAAATGAAAGAATTCAATAAAAACTATCAAACTATCAAAGAAAAATATGTAAGAATTATTACATCAAACACTCTCTTGACCGCAAGTGATAGAATTTCGGTTTTTTCGTTTATCTTTCAGCAAAGCTTATACAATTAAATAATCACTTTTCATTCGCGTAAAATTATAAACAACATGTAAATGTATTATAGAAAAACGCATAAAGTTTAAACACTACAGTGTGAAAGGAAAAATTCTGGAATATAAAATGTTAAGAAAGTTAGATGAGAAATAATCCATAATTTATTGATATCCATATAAACTCTATGCTTTTGGAAAAAGTTACACATAATTTGCAACGAGGTATCAGTCACCGAAACCAAGTTAATTTCTTTCCTTACTTTTTCTTATCAGAGGGATTTGTAAAAAGGTAAGCTAAGGTGAAAAATTTTGCAATATTTTTAAAGAATAAATTTTAAAAGTATTTTTACTTCATGAACTGAAATTTTTACTATACATTTTTACACAGTAAATAAGTACAAAAAAAGAAAGAGCTAGGCGATCACTGGGACTACAAACGCGGGTTGAACTACCAATGTTTAGTGATTTTTCCGCTTGATCATAAAACCTTTTGAAATTAGGCTGAACAATATATTAAAGGAAATAGAAGATACAACACGCGTAAGAATAAAAGTGGGATGAATTAGAGATTTACATATTTAATGAATAAGTTAAACTTACCTGTATGCCATTATGAAATATTAGGAAGTAGCATAAAAGCATGAGTGAAGAAGGCAATAGCAATCTAAATCATTGTAATCTAAATGTATAGCATTATCAGTATCTGCTATTAATGTCAACACTACTGAAAAACTATAAATGAATTATATTATAAATCGTATGAACTCGTTGCATTATAAATTACAACAGCTAGAAATATTATTAGCGTGATTTAGCGACCATCTTTGTTAAATGATTTCAAGTAACTAATTTTACAAATAATTCAGCCTGAAACTAGGTTAGATAATAAGCTACAAGCTGAAGATTAAGCTTTGCCAAGGTTTTAGAATCATCTTCTGTTAACTAGAGTTATGAAGCAAGAATTTGTAAAAATTATCATTTAAATATAATTTGGCATAAATACAATACAAATTATATAAATTTTACATACATGAAAATTTGAGTACAGTGCAACAATATGTTAAAAAGGAATGGATTAAAAGGGAGACTGAAAATCCCAGGATATGAATAAAAGGGAGTTAAACATTTAAAATACATTTAATTTTTTTTTTGTTAATTATAAAATTTCTGATGACGCTCATAATTATCAATTTATTAATTAAATGTGTATTAGAAATTAAATGTATGCCAAAGTACATCAGGTGGAAAACAGAATAAATATTTAAACGTTCTAGTATTAAAATATGGAATTTGTAACAAAGTTAAATAACCTTAAAATAAACTTCAATGATTTTAAAAAGGGAAACCTTAATACGGGAATATATTGCAATAATATTAGTGTGAATTTAGAACGACTTAAGAAGTCCAATTTTTAGATTTAATAAAGATAAATTTTTATAAATTAAATTAGAGCTGTTTACCTAAAATGGTAAATTTGAAAGTTAAAACCATTCTGCTATCTGAGAAGATTTTACTGTTTATATTTATCTAGACAAAGAAACTTATTTAAAGGTGATGCTACAAAGTAATATTAGCATATTTTCGATAATTTGATATGTTGATTATGTATCAGTTGTTGTGTATGTCATTAATCTATCAATTTTACTTATTCAAAATTTATGATATATATATATCAGCGACTAAAATCTACAATTTGGAAAGTTTTTAATTCTTACAGAGAATAAAAAAGATCTGGCTCATCATTCCTTTAAGCATCATAAAACTTTAAAATGAGTGTAAAAGAAATTTATTTTTAAGCACACGCCAGAATTTAAATTTATATTTGGTTTACATGCACAATTTTTACAATATTGATAAACGAAAATAAAGGCTTGCAGTCTCAATAGAATGTCCCATTAATGGCGATAAACGACTTTTTGTAGCACCCAATCTTCTTGGAAAGAAATGGGGGACAGGAAACGTCGCGCAGTTCGTGGATTAAAAAAGAGGGGGACGGGGATATTCGATCAAATTTGGCGCAGTTCGTACCCTACCAAAATATTTAATGTAATTTATTTATTTAGTTGCATACCCCATATTTTATGTACGGCCTGGTATCTGAGAAAGTTTTATTTAGTTATTTATTTATGTAAATTTTCATTTTTCTTTATTTTATTTTCATTACTATTACTATTTTCTGCCTTAATGCATTTATTTGGATATTATTTCTTACAAATCTTGTTTGCGTCAGTTTTCGCAAAATCGTTTGATAAGGATCATAGTTCACTAAGTGTAAGATTTGTCATTTAGTACCTTGTTATAGTTTACTAAGTGTAAGATTCTTTTCTTAGTGAACTATAACAAGGGAAGTTATAATTTCTTAGTGTAAGATTTGTCATTTAATACCCTTTTTATAGTTCTTGACAAAATTCTTGTTTTTTTGTGTACAAAAGAGAAGCATTAAGAAATGGTACATACTCTTCAGTAAAATTTGCAATTTCAGCATAAACGGATTGTGTTAATATTAGTACAATTAAAGCATAATTAATAACAGAAGTTTCTGAACAATATATTATGCATAGAATTTACAGAAGTTAGTTTCCTAAATTCTCGCTTACAAAAAATATCTGCTTTAAAATTCCTATGAGTATTCACCACATTAAACATTTAAAATACATTTAATTTCTTTTCTAGGTGTTGCGATGTAATGTGAATGAACTCGATGCACGTCCTCGTTTTAAACACAAAACTTATATTAAATAATTGCACAATACAAATATAAACAAGGAAATGACATATAAAACTTATAAATACAAGAACAGAACGAAAACAATGAAAAATAGACAGCATTCCAGCTTCCTTGCGAATGTGTTCGTCTGAGTCTGACTGTTCAACTGAATTAAATGTTCTTTGGCATAGTTCCAAAAGCGAAAGAGTCAGGTTGAGTTGTTCTGTTCCGGTGCACCGGAATATACTCCTACCCTATCAGGCATTAGTCCTGATATATGGGCAAAGGAGCTAATTTATGAATGTTTCTTTTAAAAATAGAGCTTTTAGTTTTAACCGTGGCCACACGAACCAGTCCGTCCGCACCATGATGAAGTTCGACCACTTGTCTTAGTGGCCAAGAACCTGCAGGATGACCATCATCTAGTAACAGGACGATGTCTCCAATTTTCATATTCGGCTGAGTGTCCTTCCATTTCTTTCTAGTTTGAAGAGAAGATAGATATGCTTTGGTCCATGATTTGCAGAAGTCCTTCCGCATCTTTTAAAGGAGATCCCACCTATTCCGTATACTGGCAGGACTAGTAAAAGGTCGTTCAGGAGGGGATAGGATCACGTCTCCTGTAAGAAAATGTGAAGGAGTGAGAATATTAATGCAATAAATGTCAGTATTGTTTACACTACATAAGGGACGAGAATTTAAAAGGGCTTCTATCTGAGCCAATAGAGTTGTTAATTCTTCGAAAGTAAGTAGAGTTTCACCGATTACTCTTTTACAGTGATATTTGGTTGATTTAATTGCGGCCTCCAAAATTCCTCCGAAATGAGGAGATGCTGGAGGTATAAAGTGCCATTCCATTGATGCTTGCGTTAAATGATGAGCAACGGCTTCGTTCTCAGGAAGTGAAGCCCACAATCGTCGTCGTATTTCGCTGAGCTTTCGAATAGCCCCAACAAAGTTTGTTGCATTGTCGCTGTAAATGTGACTTGGAGCTCCTCGTCTAGCATTGAAGCGACGCAAAGCAGCTAAAAATGCATCAGCGGTTAAATCGCTGACTGCCTCGATGTGTAATGCCTTAGTAGCAAGACAAATAAATAGAGCAATATAACCCTTGGTTGATTTTGCTCCACGACCCTTATTGAATTTGATTGAAATAGGACCGGCACAGTCCACTCCGCATTTGTAGAAAGGCCTCTCGAGTGTTACTCGATGCTTAGGTAGATTACCCATAAGCTGAGATGCGGTGGAAGCTTTAAATTTGATACATTTGTGAACATATTTTTTAATGAGCGTTTTTCCACCTATGATCCAATATGATTGTTTAATAATGTGGGACAGTAATGAAGCACCAGCATGTAAATAAGTCCCATGCTTTTCTTTTACGATGAGCTCACTTATCTTGTGTTTAGCAGGTAGAATCACTGGGTGCTTTTGATTAAATGACAATTCTGAATTTTGTAAACGCCCTCCTACCCGTAAAAGACTGGTTTTCATCTATAAACGGATTGGAGGGAGTGTAGCTGACTTTTCTTAGGCAACGATCTTTGATTTTGAATGCATTTTAGGTCTTCATTAAAAATAATCTTTCTGAACCCACCGAGTTATGATTATGATTATTTCTGCATTTTTAGTTTCCGTGTAAGTGAGTGGAAGAAAAGGAATCAGTTATAAGTTTGACATTTGTTATTGGTTTTGCACTTATTGATGAATCTTAAACAATATGCTAAAATGCGTATAATCTTAGAAAATGATGAATATTTTTCAAATAAATCACTATATAATTCACTTGACATAGCACTATGAAATGAAAATATAGGATCAGATTTTTGCTCAGCTTTAATTAGATCCTTGATTTCTTTGGAAGCGGATTCCTCTTTCGGCCAGTGAGACGAATCCAAAAAAAGCCAACTTGGGCCACTCCACCACAAGTTGCAATTAGGAAGACATTTGGAATCAATACCAGGCGAAGCGGTATCTGCTGGGTTCTCTTTGGAAGGGACATGCCTCCAGCATTTTATTGGAAGTACTTCGATTATTTGAGACGTCCGGTTTGCTACAAAATTCTTCCATTTACGGGGATGCGCGAAAAGCCAGGAAAGTACGACTTTGGAGTCAGTCCAAGCGTAAACATCAAACTTATATTTTTGAGAGTGTTCATGACTGCACGATATAACTTTAAAAGCAAATGAACACTGCACTGCATAATTCCAATTTAGAAACAGATACTTGTTTGATAGGTGCGACTTTAGTTTTAGAAACTAAGAGAGAGACCTTTCTTTCATTTCCGTGTATTTGTTTGCAATACGAGTATATTGCAGCAGCGTAAGCAAGTGTTGAAGCGTCGCAAAAGCCGTGCAATTCAAATGTGTCAGAGGAAATAAGCGTGACACCTCTAGGAACGGTAAAATGTTCAACTGCATTGAAAGATTTCTGAAATTTAAACAAATCTTCAGCAAGACTTTGTGGAATAGGAGAATCCGAGTCCCTTTTTGTAAGCCAAAGCTTTTGATAAAAAATTTTTAATACAACAGTATATGGTGAAATTAATCCTAATGGATCGAAAATGCTTGCCGACTGGGACAAAATGAGTCTTTTTGTCAGCGGTGAGGTGAGTTTAAGTGCGGGTTTGAAAATGAATGTGTCTGTTGAAGAGTTCCAAAATAATCCTAAGGCTTTCGTGCTTTCCTTATCATTAGGAATTATTTCTAAATTAGTGTCCGTTGAACAATGTTCTTGAAATTCTGCAAGAAATGCATTTGAATTAGAATTCCACTTTCGTAGGTTGGAAACCGTGCGTTTGTATAAATATTTGAAATTTCCTTAAAAAGTGATATTGCATCACTATCGGTACTTGAATCCTGATAGCAAATCATCCATGTATACATCGTGTAGTAAAGTATGAGAAACAGCAATATTTTGTGAATAATCTAGTGCAATTTGCTTAATGCACCTAGTGGCTAGGAAAGAAGCTGGAGCTAAAACCATATGTTACGGTGTTTAAACTTGTATGTGCGTATTTCTTCGTTAGGATTAAACCTCCAAAGAATTTGTTGGTAATTCCGATCCTCATCGGACACTGAAACTTGACGGTACACTTTCTCTATGTCTGCTAAAAGACTATTTCCGGAAATCAAAAATTAAGTAAAATTTCGAAAATGTCTCGTTGCAATTTAGGACCAACACCCAAGATTGAATTCAATGATTTACCGTTGGAAGTTTTACATGAAGCGTCGAAAACGGCTCTTAATTTGGTAGTTGTACTAGCCGGCTTTAGCATTGCATGATGGGGAAGGAAATATTGCTTATTCGGAAATCTATTTAAACAATTTTGTGTGACTAATTCCATATGACCTAAATTTTCATATTCATGCATAAAATCCTTGTATTGGTTTTCAAATTCCGAGTTTTCCTTATATTTACGTTCCATAGCATATAATCGAGAAAGTGCAGCTGGTTTTGAATTACCTAATTCAAATTTAGATTTTAAAAATGGCAACTTCACAACAAAACGACTATCTGAATTAATTGAGTAATTTTCCTGAAAATGTGTTTCAGCAAATTGTTCTTCAGGTGAGAATATAGTGTCAGTTTACTTCTTCTAACTCCCAAAACCGTTTCAATTCGCTATCAATATTTATTTCATAAATATGCAAGTTTGAAAGTGAATTTGATTTCGTTTGAGATTCCGGTAGTTTTCCGGATATGAGGAAACCAAAAATTGAGTTTTGAGCAATTAAATAACTTTGAGAACAAGTTATTTGTCCAGGAAGTAAAATAGAAAACAAGTAGTCAGATACTAGAATAATATCTATCTTATCCGGAATGTGAAAATATGGATCAGCTAACTTTACATTTTTCAAATGCGAAAAGTCTTTCTCATTTATTTTTTGGCTTGGAAGTGCAGCAGTTAGTTTATCTAATACAAATGCCCTAATTGGCATTCTCATTGATGTATCATGGATTGATATCAACTCAGTTTCAACGCAACCTTTTGTAACTGTGACTTCTGAGTCAGCTAAACCCTTGACAGGAAAACCGCATTTTTTATTTTAAATCCCAATAAAGTAATACAAGATTCAGATAATAATGTTGATTCGGAACCACTATCACAAAGCATTCTAATATTACGATTTTGAACCATCGAATCGATTACAGCTAACTTTCTTTGACAGTAATATTACGATTTTGAACCATCGAATCGATTACATTTACATACGCAGTTGGCAATAAGCCAAAAGTTGCTTGAACGCTACTATTTTGAATTACAGTTCCGTTTTTTTTTCATTCGTAGACGCAATGTCTGGTATTTCATTCTCCGCGGTTGGATTTTTTTTCTTTGCTTGTTCTGACTGAAAACTGCTCTCAGAAAGAGACGGAGATGTGGAATAACGTTTTAACTGATTTTCACACAGAGTACTATGATGCAATAACTGGCAATAATGACAACGATGTGGAGACATACATTCAGATTTTCTTTGTGCTGACTAGACAATTAATTTAAACAAAGATTATTTTTCCTAACAAATTGATTTCTTTCTTTGACAGTTAGTTCTTTAAATTTGGGGCATTTGAAAAGAAAATGATCTGATTTACACATAATACATTTGATACTTTTGTTAACAGAAAATCTTTTAACACTCGTTTGAGTACTTATCTTGCTTGGCCTTTAAATGAAGTTCGATGCAAAACGTATCCAGTAGTATCCAATACTGTACCGAATGCAGAGTTGCAATGGTGACGAAACCGAAATAAAAATCCCTTTAATCTCGCCGGTGACTCCAAAATTTAATGTTGCGATGTAATGTGAATGAACTCGATACACGTACTCGTTTTAAACACAAAACTTATATTAAATAATTGCACAATACAAATATAAACAAGGAAATGACATACAAAAATTATAAATACGAGAAAAGAACAAAAATAATGAAAATTAGACAGCATTCCAGCTTCCTTGCGAATGTGTTCGTCTGACTGTTCAACTGAATTAAATGTTCTTTGGCATAGTTCCAAAAGCGAAAGAGTCAGGTTGAGTTGTTCATTTCCGGTGCATCGGAACACTAGGTATTTATATCAAAATATTTATTTTTAATTTATATTCTTTTACTTTCTTTTCTTATTTGATGAAATTATATTGAATAAAAAAAAGAGTTTGTATAAGAGTACTAATTTTGTGAAAGGGAGATATTGAGTTCTAATGAAAATTAATATATATGTATTTTAGTACTTTGAACTTTCGATAGAATGACCATGTAAATATTTACAATCATATAGCGATGTAATTCATTATGGATACGTTTGATGAAACATTATATGGAATGAAAACTTGCAAACATGGTAAAAGAGTGTAATAATTTCATGGCGGGTGTATGTGCAGAAATTATTTTATGCCTGCATTTAGATAAAGCTGAGTTTTTCGAGGAACTAAAGAGCATGCTCTGGCACTTGGAAACAGGTACTAGTACTAGTTATTAGACTGAACGTGCTGTAGTTTACTTCAGAATATATGTCTTCAAAACAGCTTAATATATTAAAAGCCGTAACTTTAAACTAGAATTTTTATATAAATAATAATTAAGGGAAATCCTATGCTATTTAAGAATATAGAAATTTTCAAGCTGCCGTTAGCGAATTGCTTTCTAATTATCAGATATGGTGTCAGAAGATGCAAAGTTTTTCTGTGATTTTTCTGTGTAAGCTATTGCGTAGGCCTTTTCTATAAAACTCTTATGCAGACTATTTTCTAATTTAAACAGTGATTATTCAGGTAACTACTGAATCCTTTTATTATTTACAAGCAGCTAAAATCTTTATAATTATGCATCTATCTCATAGGATTTTTGCGTCGATTGAACTTTAATAGTTTCTGCAGCAATTTCTGCTAATATCGCTTTAATATATTTGAAGTAACGCGGTCAAGCCTCGAACAGTGGCGATTTAAACGTCACACGCCATAAGTATGCAGATATACATTTTCCGATAATGAGTGCTGTATGATTGTTTCGAAATTTGAGACAAATGCCGGAGGTATCGAAAATTAAACGGAAATATGGTATATCATGGATGTGTAAAGTATAGATAAAAATACTTGTATAATTCATCATTTACTGCCTTAAATTATAAACAAATGCAAAATTAAGCTTATGGTTCTTTTTATGTTTGTTGTTAGTAATCGGTATAATTGTTATAGTGTTTGGCATTGTAAAAGAGTTTATTAATGTAAGTGCTGACTGTCAACTTATTAATTCCGCAAACAACGAACGTAAAATTAAATAATGATAGAGTCTGTAAAATAGAGAAGATGAATTTTCAGTTCTTTATGTTTTTTCCCTATTTTTATTTTTATTTTATTTTATTATTATTATTTTTTTCCAACTTATTTTGTACGATTATTTAAGCAACTGTTATACTTCGTATAATCTTCCTGCGATTCCGATGAATTTTACTATTCGCTCTCGAATCTAGAACCCAGATAAGCAGTAAAACTTAACTAT